CCGGGGCGGCCGCGGTCGGCGCCTGGCCGGAGGGGCCGTGCGCGGCCCCTGCCCGGCGCCCGGCCTGCGCAGTCGGGCAGAAGCTGACAGCGGTGCGTGTGGCAGGAGGGCTCCCATGCTTTCCCCCAGTGCGTCAGCTCGCCTCTCCGTCTGGGTCCTGAGACCCAAACGTACGTGCGCAGCGGCCGCTCAGCTCGCCAAAGCTTATGAATCCGCATTGCCCACGGCGCAGGAGCTAGTGTGTTTCTACTCATACCGCTTTGGCAATCGGCTCTAGTTTTTTGTGAAATCCGACGTAGCTGTTGTAAGGCAGGTGCACCACGAGCTAGACGGACTGCGGGAGGACGCTCTCCTCTGCCGCCCTTTTTGTATGTTAGCAGACCTCACTGCTGCTGCGCAGGGATGGCAGTTACACCGCCCGGACCCCAGGGATACTACAGAATGCAAGAGGGGAGAACACCTATAGGTTATGTCTTTTTTTATAAATTACTTTATTTGAGGTAAAGAAAGCATTGGTGTAAAATAGCCGTTCAAATACGGCAGTCGTTTACTTGCTGTGTCAGCAATATGCCTGAAAGAAAAGGCATGCTCCGTAACCTACATTTCAAAGGTCACAGTGCTACTGCTCCAGCCTTCTGAAAATCACAGTTCGAGCCAGCATCATGGCTGGTTTGAAGATTTGGACTGTTTTGCTGGTTATGCTATACCATTTCTGTCAAAGATGTACCCCAAGTGGAATTTCAACACATGTTGAAATAGGTAAGACATGTTCAGAATGAATTTTTGTGTCTTTTGAGTTGCTTGGGAAGAGAAGTAAATTCAGATTCGGCTGGAAAGCAGAGGGAAGAAACAGTGTTAAAGTAATGAGCACTCTACGTAATTTAAAAAAAATGTGAATAACACATAGGATAGATGAGTAGTTTGGTTTCGGAGTTTGAAACTTTACTGGTTTTATAAAGCAAAATACTTGAATGGGTTTGGTTGCGTATTTTTCCGTCTTCTAAAACACAGGCATTATGTAACTGGAATGTTTGTGTCTGTGAGTCTCAGGCAGACAGGGTTTGGTTTGGAGAAAGAAGAGGAATACTTTACGCAGTTTACGGGATTGTTATATTTAAACTAGAGAATAACACAGATCATTTGTGGTAGCTCTGTTTGCAAATCACCATGTCTTAATTTTGCCATACCTGCATAAAATGGATAAAATGCTGTAATGTGTTTGTATATGTGACTAACAAAATGAAAATTTTGTTCTGTGTCTCTTTCTGGTAGGTTGCTATCTGTAGCCTGAACAGCCTAGATTTGTAGAGAATGAAGGAGAGAACTGAGTGGACATCAAAGTGGGGATATATTTCTGGTTTTAATTTCTTGTTTGCATGTGTTATTTTTAAAATCTGGTTTCTGCTGTAGTTCTTGCAAGAACACTCATGAGTAGTGTGAGGTTATTCTGAAATGTTTACTCATAATAAATGGACAGTTTTGTTTGTTCTTCTGTTTCTGATTCTAAATCCGTTGCTCAAACAGATAGTAAAACATATGATGTTGTCTCTATTCAGGTAATTTTTTCAGACTTTAAGTACTGAATACATGCAACTTCGAACAAGTTAAAGGCCCTTGGTCAGCATCCTGCAACCATTCGCTTTTCCTAATGATATGTCAAGAAACCCACAGTAATCAGTAGGAGAAGTCACACTGCCCGAGGTTAGGCAAGCGCATACATCTTTGCAAGCTCGGGGCTCTAATTACTGAGTATGAACTTCTGAAAACTTGAAATAACAGATTTGGCAGAATAGAGTATATTTGCAAGGAATCTACGAATAGAAACAAGAGCTTATGGATCTGTTCCAAAGCAGTCATTTTTTTCTAATCAAGGAAGCATGTTGCAGAAAACCTGCATTTATATGATTTAAAGGTCACGGTTGTCTGAGGAGTAGTGTGTACGCTGAACTGTTGGGTCATAGTTTACAACAAATTTTGTCCATTTATCTGAAAATGACATTAAACTGGGCTCCGCTCTGATGTTGCTAAAATCAGTGCTTTTATTAATGTGCAAATAAAAGTCCACGATGATAAGATACTGAAAGTTATTGCCAAATCCGAACACTGAGTATTATGGGGGGGCGGGGGGAGACCTGTAGAAAGGAACTCCTCCGACTCAAAACCAGCACCAAAGTCTATCCTGGGCAGACTTCTGAAAGTACTTTTAAAACGGTGAAAAGCTCTGCCTGTTCAAAATGTTGATCATGTTCGGTGTGCTCGGCAGAGCCGCACTGTGTCCTACTTGCCACGGCCTTGTTGCTGGAGGCAGGTCTGAGCGGGGAGGCTCTTCCCCCGCCAGGGCTCCCGTCTGACCCACGGGGCTCTGTGGAACTGGGGTGATCCATCATGAAATTCACTGTCAAGGTGAACTCCTGTGACCTGGGCCCACAGGAGTAGTGAGAGAAGTCGGGGGGGGACAGGAGACAGGAAAAGCAAACTGCCAAACTGAGAGTCTCCCGCGCTGGAACCAGAGATGTGTGTTGAAATGACTGAGCCTTAAAATGATAGGCTTTTTAATTATTATTTCTAAGTTATTCCTGTTTTGGTGCAAGATTGGTTCTTAAGGTATCTTAGCATATTTGTGTAAGGATGGTTTAGATAAGTGGGTAAAATTCAAAGTTAATGATCATTCAAACCCACACAGTTTTGTCTAGATCTTATTCCAGAATGAGTGTGGGGTTTTTTTGTGGTGTGATTTATCTGGTAAGGACCAAATTCAATTCAGCATGTTCTGGGTTATCTTGATCAGTCTTAGTTTGTAAATAGCTTTAAGTGAGGAGTAAAGCTTTGTGTGGGAAGGCAAGACAATAACCTATGCATGCAGTTTCAACTGAATAATTTCAGAGGCAATGTTGGGTATTTTTAGAAGAGTGTTAATAGATTGTCCCTGGGGGTCTAACATTAATTAGAAGGAGACTTCATTAAAGAAAAGTGATGTCAGTTTGTTTTGTTCTCTTGTTACGCTTGCTTAATAAATATTTTGGCAGCGAGAATGTCTGCCTATTCAGTGAATAAATAGTATGCTTTATCTTGCTGACTTTAGATTTTTGTTGGGTTTCATACATGTTAAAAATTAATCAACCTGTTAAACATCTGTGTTGATTCCTGAGGTACCTTTTTCAATATTAAGGGCAACAGTGAAACTGAAATACAATTCACCTGGGTCCTTTACGGCTAGACTTTTATGATCCGTACTCTGTATGTGCTGGGTGCGATCGGTGTCAGTTCACTGCTGTAGCTCAATTCTGGACACGGGGAGTTCCTTTTCCCTGCGATTAAGCACTTTCGGTTTTGTTGGTCAGCTCGGGAGCTGGGGGCTAGAGAGAGACTGATAAGACTTCAGTGTCCAGATGTGCCACAGAAGCAGCGTTTCCTTATTAGCTCCCTAGGTGAGAAAACACACCCTCTCACGCGCATGGCGTTTTCTGAGAAGTCATGTTTCATGCACCTCTGCCGCTTGGTTTGGGTATGATGATGCGATGTATTCTGCTTTTGATAATGCTTCTAACAAAACATGGGCCTGGCCACAGTACCTATAAATCAATACTTCAATATGTTGTTTTTCAGCACATAGAGCTCTGGAATTTTTCACTAAGCGCGAAGGGAATATTAATTATAGACAGGTAGGAAACATATTATTGCTGAATTGTGCATGCCTTTCTTCTGAATGTTTTTCTGTCTCTTTTCTTGCCTTTCCTTTCTTTATTATTTATTCTCAGTAATATGTGTGTAACTATTGTGCCTAGACTGTATTTTTACCTTGTTTTGTTGAAAATCGTTTGACTCCTCCTGAATACTATTGCAAATATGTAGTAATTATAATAGTGTGTATATACTGTGTGTGGTTTCTTGCATTTTTCCCCATCATCTTTAAGTCATACACTCCATGGGCAGTTGTCTTAGAAGAATCAGTAGAGGACTTTTGGAAAGGAGATTTAGTAAACATAAGGACAGCAAAATGACAGCAAGGTTTTGAATGTAGTCCACCACATATATAATTTAACCAATTTCTGATTGGTGCAAATAGCTTTTTCTTTCATGGGCTGTATCTAGCAGAGCACTGTAAGCGTGCGGACAGTTTTCATAAACACATGAACAAAACACATATGGTTTTTGTGTTTAAAACATTTTTAATATCCTTTAGCACAACATAAAGACGACCTTTTTCTATAATTTGATCTTTTATCAAAGTAGGAGATCACTCAAGGGAAGTATTCACATTGTCTGCTGTAGACAGCTATGCTGTGATTCAGAGGATGGAAGACAGCAGACCAGGCTTTGTGTCTAGTCCAAGAGGAGGAGGGCACCTTCAGAAAGTGAATTCACCAGTACCGAAATTAGATCATATGAGTGCTTTCCTAAATAGCCTTTCAAATTACAGTGCATACTGATTGGTTTAGTTTTGCTTACAAGTATTTTGGCAAGGGGGGGAGCAGGGCGGGATGGTGAGGGATGGTGACAACACTGAAATAATTATATCTTGCAAGATATTTAAATTTTATCTTCAGTATTGGCAGTGAACTGTGGTTTTGTGCTGTGCAATAGCATTCTGATTACTTTTTTCCCCATCTTTTTCCCAGTTATTACTAAACCACCAAGATGCATTTCAGGCTGGGAGCATTTATCCTGATGCCTTTTATCCTTCAATCTGCAAAAGTGGTAAGAAAAGCTTTTTAAGTCCAATATTGTAACAACTGTATTTTTATGTGAAAATCCTACAGAATTTAGTAGGGTTGAAAATAGTTATGTTGAAAGAAATGAAGTATGGCCAAAAATACCTGCCTGCAAAAACATCCACCATTTTTGTTAGTATTTTGAGCCTTTTTGTAGAACTATATAAGAAATGATACATTTGAAAATGTTTTAAGAAAGTAACTTTTGGGTAAATTTAACTATTTAATATGTAGAGCAATTTGATAGAAGGATGCTGTTTGACTAAATTAGGTCAGATGACTGACTACTGTCTTGGGGAGAAACTGAGAGGACAAAATGATCTTTTTGATCTTTTTTCCTAAGTCTTAGGGAAAGCCTAGGGTTAATTTCTATATTAGAAAGTATTAGTTTCTATCAGATCAGTCACCAAGATGATAGAAGAATATAAAAAGCTCACAAAAACAAAATAGTGCAGGACTTCCTGGGGAGGGAGGAAGCGTAACATCCCAGTTTAAAGCCTTTCTTTCCAGACTGCTGTCTTTTGCCTTTACTTGTTTGAAATTAATGTTGCAATGGCTGTAAAGAGTATGTCTTGACTTGCAGCTGGCCCCCTGATTTTTCAACTCTGGTAGGTCACCTCTTGATCATAATCAGCTTCTGCAGCAACACCAGAGCTATAAAACAGCCAGCTAGGGCTTGCTCCAGGATATTTTCTACTAAAGTGCTAAATCTGGATAGTGAGCAATTAGCAAATGGGACAAAGGCAGCCTGTCCTCCAGCAAACAAGCTATTAGGATGTTTAGGCAGATACCAGAGACAAGGCAGTGATATGTAGTTTGTGTGAGGATATCTGGCCAATTGATTGTTGAGATCTTACTGAAAGTCTAAAGTATGGGAGGTTTATTTTAGTGGGTTTATTTTAGTGGGTCATGCAAATTCAGATCCGTTAAATTCAAAGTGTTCTTAGGATCTTTGTTTGGTTTGCCTCATCTTTTACATGTTTTTCAGCTGAGTGCCAGTGCCTCCACTTATCTCAGTATTTGTTTTTCCTGCCTCAAGCTACAAAATCCTTGTTTGTCTTTCCAAGGACACTTTCCCCATCTTTTCTCATCGCCTGCTCTACTTAGAGTCTTAGATCACACAGTGGCTGCTAGACTTCTCATTGTTTCTCAGTCATAGGTTGTTGACGCTGACTGTTGTTTATGCCAACTACAAGGCTGCTTAGTTTATATCCTTATAGGCAGATTGCCCAACCCAGATTGCCTAATGGGAGATCTTCTCTGCTGTTATGTCATGCTGCTCAGTTCACATCCAGGTTGCCCCTCTGCTCTGGCATTTAATACTGGTTTTGTCTCCTGTCACTCACCAGGTCACTGTTCCTGGTCTTTTGCCTGGCTCTGCTAACATCTTGTCCCAAACTTCAGTCTCGCTTGCCTTGTTTTCAGGACTGATGTTCTCCTGGGATTTCTTCAATTCCTACCTTAACGTAGTTATTTCTATCTGCCTCGTCTTTCCCTTCTAACAGTTTTGACTTCTGCCTTATACCGGGTCAGTGATCAGAGTCTCTCTATCCGCAGCCTCCAGCCCACATTCCTGCACTGAAGTTGGGGTCCATCTTGCCTTGTTTTATACTTGGGCCATTTGTCAGCAGTCTCCTTAGTCAATGTGGAAGAAATAGGTACCTCTACAGATCTGAGCTGTTTTAACTATGTGCCTCTAGATCAAGAACAAAGCCATCCAGACTGCCTTTCCAGGCAGGAGACAAACTTGGATGTAGAAGTCTACTCCGTGAATGTTTAATTTTGGTCTAGCAAATCCCATCCTTATGTTATCTAGTTCAGGTGAACTGTAAAATGTCAAGAGACCAGGAGGTGACTGAATCACCCACAAGGTCTGCTCTCTCAGTTTCAGCATTTAATATACCTTAATCTTCTCCAGTTTCACAGTTCTGTCTGAACAAACATACTCTTCCCCCAAGTGTATTGATGGTCCGGACAATCTGTCTTCTGCCTACCTTCTTCCCCCGTAGAGAATTTAATATTGTGCTGCTTAGACTCATCACGTCAGCATCACTTTGCCCTCAGCTTTATGTGGGTACACAGAAATTTTTAGGCAAGGTCATTGTTAGATCCTACATAATCTCTTTTGCATAAATCTGAGTGAGAGCAGTAGTTGATGCTTCAAAGGAAAACCTGATTTTCCCTGCTTTCCTCTGCCCCTCTTCTGCTTCTACACTGACTGTATCTTGGCAAGTTTACCATTCTGTTGAAAATGATGGTGATGAGGATGACGTAGCCCTCCTCTGCCCTGTGGAGACTGCTACCTGTCCCATAGCATGATATTTTGAGTTGGCTGCTATGCCCATCGGCTTTTCTGCCATACAATTTGATGCATTCATTTAGTCAACAGCTTCTCTGGCAGCTGTCTTTATTCTCTCCACTTGGGAGGCAGTTTTTCATTGTACTGTACCTACTCACAGGCACAAAGAAAGGGAGCAGGCACAAAATTTTCAGATACTTCAAACCAAAATCAGGGGAGGTAAATCTAGTGTCTCTTTTGACAGAATAAATCATAAAAATAATGTCATTTGGCTCTTCTCATATAAGTGGATTGCAAAATGTACACTACGAAATTGAACAAAAGTCTATGTTTTTTTAATGGAGAAAACGTTTTTATTTTTTTCCTTTATTTTTTTTTCCTTTTTTGTTCTTCTCCTTTCTTTCTCCTTTCTTTCTCCTTTCTTTCTCCTTTCTTTCTCCTTTCTTTCTCCTTTCTTTCTCCCTTCTTTCTCCCTTCTTTCTCCTTTCTTTCTCCTTTCTCTTTCTTTCTTTCTTTTCTCCCTTCTTTCTCCCTTCTTTCTCCCTTCTTTCTCCCTTCTTTCTCCCTTCTTTCTCCCTTCTTTCTCCCTTCTTTCTCCCTTCTTTCTCCCTTCTTTCTCCCTTCTTTCTCCCTTCTTTCTCCCTTCTTTCTCCCTTCTTTCTCCCTTCTTTCTCCCTTCTTTCTCCCTTCTTTCTCCCTTCTTTCTCCCTTCTTTCTTCCTTCTTTCTTCCTTCTTTCTTTCTTCTTTCTTTCTTCTTTCTCCTTCCCTCCTTCCTTCCCTCCTTCCTTCCCTCCTTCCTTTTTCCCCAAAGAGAAAATCAAGTACAATATATTTATCAAATACAATGTATTTATTTAATATATATATTGCAATAATTTTATTGCAATAGGAGTATTCCATGATGTGTCTGAAGACACTCACTGGTCACCATTTCTCAGTACAAGCATTCACTACATCAGAAGGAATTATCCTCAGCCTTGGGAAGAGGTAAGAAAATTTCTTTAACTTTTGACTTTGCTTTATACCATTTTCTTGACCTTCACTTGTTGCAATTTCATCCTTTGGGAAGTGTTGAAAAAATACACATTTTTAAATTAAAGTCTCTGCTGATATAGGAAAATTTGAAATCCTATTTTCGTCTTTACCAGACAAAAAAGTTATGGTATCCATATCAGTTATCTCCAATGTGGTCTGGTGCTCATGATATATTTCATAGGTCAAAACTTTCAAATGTGATTGGTGGTCTTGCATTATCATCAGATCTGGTTGAGTGTTTGCCACTTGAAAACCAGGTGTCTTTTAGAATTCTTACTTGTGAAATCTTGGACTTAGTCCTGATTTGCTTTTGTTTATGGTATATGAGCCACATAGGAGGAAAGGAAAAACAAGTTGTCAAATTGAGAATGATTTTAAAGGTCATATTGTTTTCTTTTCCTTACTGGAGAATTTGCCATTCTCTCTCTGCTCAGGAGAGTCATACAGGTGGAGCAGCACTTGAGAGGGTGCACTCTTTAAAACCTAAGCAAGCCTGCCTGCCTTTTGACTGGCCATTGGTGATACTGATCTTGTGAATTATTAACCCTTGGGAAGTATAAATTCATGAAAAACTGTGATTCAGTTACAGATTTTTAAAAGACCTCTGGAACTTACAGTGATTCAATGCAGAGAAGTCTGTTCTGGAGAAACGAAATTTCTGTTGCTGATAAATTTATTCCAAATAACTTTTCTGTTTGTAGGAATAAGGTGAGTAATTTCATACCTGGGCTTTAATCAGGTACTTTTACAGTGAACAACACTTGCACAGGAATGTCTTTCTCTCCTCTGTGTGTATGCCCAACACCCATGGTAGCAGAAAGGGTTCGCTCCTTGGAAGTGGAAGTGTTTGTCCTCAGTCCAGAAAAACACTTTAGTACACATCAGACTTGAAGTACACAAGTTGTCCTGACATCAACCATGTAATTCTGTAGCCTTGGACTGTACGAAGTGCTTAAAGCTTCTCAAGTCACAAAAAGTGACTCCAGCATCAAGGAATGAGTGCTCAGCACTTTGTCATGCTAAGTTCTTGGGTTGTAAGAGTTTCTCACCTATATTCTTGTATAATGCGCTAACATAAAATGCTTGCCTCTTCTTAAAGACAGGAGTAAAATTATTGACATTACTACAAGTGAACTGTTGTTGTGTAGGCTACAGAGAAGCTGGTGGCTTTCCTGTTTGGAATTGCCTCACATATGGTGGCAGATGTTAGCTGGCATAGCCTGGGCATCGACCAAGGATTTCTAAAGGCCATGGGAGAAGTAAGCCTGTATTTTTATATTTATTGATATAAGTGGATTTATTGGAATTGATAGTTTAGCTTTGGACTCTGGTGGGGAGGGGAGAGAAAAACTGGAGCCCTGTTTCAGGAAGATTTTCAGAGAGACATAATGTCACAAACTCCATAAGAACAAAGTTGGACAGGTTTGGGACCTGTAAACTTCAGGGCTGCTTGGACAATTTGTTTCTGTTCATATGTTTGTATGGAAGGATGAGTAAAATAAACAGACAGTTCTCTTGTTTTTCTCCAGATTGATTTTCATGGTTCATACTCAGAAGCTCACAATGTTGGCGATTTTGGTAATGTTTCTGTTTGCTGATCATAGATCCTTCTATTGGAATACCTAGTCCCCTTCAAAACCACAGTAGGTGATGCTGGCTCTTACCCTGTGCAATGCAGGAGCCAAGAATGAGTCATATGGACACCATATTCTCACTCTTCCCCTATGGTTTGCAAAGCCCTGCTATCCCTGTCCTCAGGCTCCATGTTTCAGGAGATGTGATAGGGCATATGGACACTCATATTAAAGCGAAAACACAGGCTGAAGGATGCTAAAGTTTAAATGGAGTCACTACTGTGATTTTAAATTTTACATTATTCTTATTCTCTGGAAGTATCAAATATGCAGCATACTTTCAGGTGAACCATTTATGTGTTCTAAATATACAGCTGGAGGATCTACCATATAAACATAGATAGCTTCATACATAGCTTCATCTGCACTGTTATCCATGATAGATACTTAACGGGTTTGGTTTGTTGGCTTTGTGGTTTTTTTTCATTCTTCCATCTGCAGGAGGAGATGTACTGAGTCAGTTTGAGCTGGACTTCAGTTATCTGGCATCAAATTGGTAAGATAATGAGGTTACCTTCTTTAACAGTTATTTCTGCTTACTCTGTACACTCACTGTGTTTTAACAAAATGCTGTCCTTCTTTATCTTTCTTTGAAAAAAGAAACTCTTTTGGCTATTGGAATTTTTCTGAGTTTGGTATTCCTTATATGAATATTAACTGTTCCCTGACACGAAAAACTGGAAGGACAGAAGAAAAAAGAGTTTTACATATAGGAACACAGCAAGAAAGATTAAATTATTTATCTCTGAAGGGAATTATAAGTGATTATGTGTAAAATAATCAGTGAAAAAGGTTTGCTCGAATGTCCTAGCAATTAGTTAAATAACTCAGTTAAATAAATCTCACTTAGATTTCCATTTAAAGTTTTGGAAGTTGAGGATGTTAATGGTTATAGATGCTGTGGAATTCACACAGGTTTTAAAAGCATAAAAAGAAGCAGCAGTTTTAGATATGCACAATTCTTTTTCTCACAGTTTTTAACTGAAATAAAAAAGCTCACATGCCTCTTTCTGCTGATAAAGTAGGTCATTTGAGTTGTTTTGTTTAAGTAGGATGTAGTTCATCTAGGTGTAGAAGGCACAGTTCATTAATGAAACTGTGGCACAGCTGTGGGAAATGTCTATTTGGCTAGGGGTAAATTTGGCACAGCAGAGAGCTGGAGGATGTCCTCCAAGATTATGTGATCACCAAGCCAGGGAATCAGTGTAGGGAGCGTGGAACTACCAGCAGTAGCCATAGGGGCATGGTTCTGTGGGTTTCTGAGTCTGAAGCTAAACAGGAGGAGAGTGTTGTGCAGAGAGTAACTGCACCTGCAATCCTGGTCTTTCTGGCATTTGTAAATATTAGTGACCTTCTGTAGTACTTTGAAATTTAGAACATTTTAAAGCAGGCTGTTGTTATTACAGAAACTGTAATCTTTTATCAGGTGATGTGGAAAAACTCTTGTTATAATACTTTCGTCTTGTTTTTAGGTATGTACCTGTCAAAGACCTAGCAGCTATCTATAAGGAGTTTTATGGAAGAGAGATCATAACTGAAAGCACAATTACTGACTGTACTTACCTGCTGTATCTTGAACTGTAAGTTGAATAGCTTTGTCTGGGTTTTCATAAGTGAAACATATGTAGGAAAATGATGATAATCCTATTTGAAATGCTAGCTCAGAAATTTATGCATTGAGGACAGCAATATAGACTCCTTAGTAGACCCCAAAATCATGAAACACCTGAATTTTTTTAGTGGCTAGAATACAAATTTGGACTGCTTCATAACTGTTGAATTCATTATTACACCACAGATTCAGCATCTTAGCTATTTAACACGTTTATGCATTTAATGTATTTATACCTGTTTATGTGAAAACAGCTGTGTCTTTAAGTACCATTGCATTCTGGCATGTTAGCCATATAATTTTCATGTACTGAAGGAGTAGTATACATACCTAAGTATATGGCTTACCTACACTTTATGTAGATCCTTTAAATTCCAAGAATAATTCAGAAGAGACTTTTGATATCTGGCAAGAAGAGGCTTTTGATATCTGGCTTTTGAACGTCCTAAACAGCCTAGCTGTATCCTTTATTTCAGTTAATTATCAATAGTCATGCAGCATTTACAAACACTGTGCGTGCCTCCAAATTCAGGGCAGCAATAAAGTTAAGATCATTACTTCTCACATCACAGCTTTTAAAAGTATATTAACAGCCAACAAGGAAATGTAATGACTTGCATAGTATTTACCATACAGAAGCCTTGAAAAGAACTGTTTAAATAGTTAAATATTGTTAAATGAAGCAAATTTATTTCTGAAGATTATTTTTTTTTCAGACATGGAGAAAGGCTTGCTGTTGCCAAGGTTGGTCTTCTGGTTTCTTTATGAAAATGAACATATAGCATGAAGACAATGTAATCCATCTTACTAAGTATGTTGCTTGTCTCTTAGCTTTTTCCAACATATGCTAGCAAATCTCCATTTCTGGTGGAGAAGTTCCACGAGTATTTCCTCGGAGGAGTGGATGACATGGCGTTCTGGACAAACAATATTTTTGAGCTGACAAGCCATATGCTGGATAATGGAACCAGGTATAGCTGTGTTTCCTGCAATATAAAATGCAGTAGTCAAGTTCTGACACCCATTTAATTGTTCTTCTGAAGGCAGGTTCTTTCCTAGAAGAGGTGCTGAGCTTTAAATCCTCACTTGGACAAAGGGATTTCTGTGGCTGTTTTTTACCTGAGTGCACAGAATTACACAGGCCTTGAGTTCACATTTGTTACATCTTCACAGTCCTTTCCCCAGGCCAGGCTCTGGCGTGCCCAGCTGATACGCGACAGGGAAAATTTGGGGCGTTCTGTAAGATGTACTCAAGGGCCAGCTTAAACGTTGCATAGCCATGCCCTGAGGTTCTGCCTGGCCTGGCAGTCTGAGCTGTGGCGGCACCTTCTGGCTGCTGTCATCAGCCAGCAAAAGATGTCCCTTCCAAGGGGAGGGCAGATGTTGCCTTCAGACAGTGAAGACAGATAGGATTAGAAAGACTAAGAGTATATATTCTAGTGTTGGAAGCTCAGGCTTGTACTCAGAATATCGTATTTTTTATAGAAGTTCTGGCCCTGTACTGCTCTGTTGCAAGTGTAACTGTACTGTAAATAACTTAGTAAGACCAACAGTGGCAATTAATTCATCCATTTATATGGAAAATATCACTGCAGCTATTTTGGGAAATGATGTTTGAAATACAGTATGGCATAATCTGTTGTGGTCTTTGTTCCAGAATGGCACTTTCATTAAAAGTGCTTTAGATTATTAAATTAGCAGGACATGTTACAATAAGTTTCCTTTAAGAGCTATATAAAGACTTGTAAGATGTCTTTATAATGACCTAATCAAGGTCATTAAAATAAATATCAAAGGGGTTTCTCAGGATTATAATGATGCTCCAATTTTGCATAAGCAAGGTTTCTTGAGAAAACTGATGACTTCTAACAGACGAATCAGTAAGGATAAAAGTTGTATTTTTAGTTTCACTTCCATTATGGGAAAATGTTTAAAATTCCTTCTGCATATTTCTTTAGTGGCTGCTTCCTGCCTGAGAACCCTCTGTTTATAAACTGCACAAGGGAGCACAAGGACACCTATGTGTAAGTATAGCTCTGAAGGTTCAAAGATTGACTGATGAAAGGAGAGTCCTCCACTAATGTGGACAGTGAGCTACTGAAAATTAGAGATCTTTTGCTATATCTTTTTGTGTGTGAATCTGAGATTCTCTTAACATGAATAAATAAGCTTTGTATAGGGGAACTGTGCAGAACCTAGGGGAGACTTTTACCTTCCACCCTAAGGACAAGAATTCTTACCTAGCACTTGAAGTGTTAAGAATTCATACTTTATTTGGTTGTCACTCTTTGTTCTGCTAATCATGAAACTGCTGATTCATGTTTACCCTTACAATAGCTAAATTCTCTTGTGATTTATGTACAGAAATATGCAACTCAGCTGTTCAGATCACAAGTGTATGCATTCCTCTAGCAAACATCTCAAGAGAAACCAGCGTAACTGGTATCTCTTAAGAACTCCCTTTTATATATGGGAGAAATGGCCACCTGATTGCATGCAAGATGATTGCTTCTCCTGGCTTTGTCATAAAATACTCAAGTCATGAATTCAGTTACATTAATTGTTATTGTTGCTTTCTTCATTTTAGCAGAAACAAACAAACAAAAAATGAACGTGACAAGAATACAGCTTCTTTGCTTACAAAAACACTTGAAAAGAATATAAATTATACCGAGAGAGGAGTTCACTTCAACATACAATCTTGGGCAACAGTAAGTGAGAAGTGACAGACGTGTCAGGTAAAATTCAGCTCTGTATAAAGTTGTTTCAATTTCTGTCTAAGATGCTACGTGTTGGAGCAGGGTCTCTGGATGTTAACAGTAGCCTGTGACTTCACTTCATGGAGATTCCAGCAGCCATTGTTAATCTATATATTTATATGTACATGGTAAATATTCAATTTTTACGCTTTGCTTATTGTATAGTGACGTTAGAACACATCTTGCAGTGCCAAAAATGGCAAAATGTATCTTTAGTACTTACACTTTAGTATTTACATCTTAGAGAATCATATGATCACTTTTTGGGGTTAAAGAAGTCCCAAAAAAGCATAGCAGTGAACAGTTAGCATTGCTCCATTTAGAGCATACAGATTTGTATCTCTTTCTATAACGGTGCTTATGACCTGAGCCAGGGTCCACTTAGATCAGTGTGGTGATTTCCACTGTTGGTGACTTGGTTTTGAGGTGTTCCATAATGCTCTAGAGTTTCAGCCTGTGTTTTAACTATTCTTGTGTCTCTTTATTATTTTTATTTCAGAATTCCCTCCACTTGATAAACCGTGCTTTTGCAACCAATGTCTGGAGAGCGTTAGCAGCTACACGTCAAAAATCTTCTAAGTACATCTCCAAGCCAGCAGCTTCATATTTTCTGACTTCACCCTATGCTAGACTTGGATGGTTGGTAGTTTTTTTTCTTCACACCTCCCTCTTAATTTTTGAAAATTTTGAGTACCTGCCAAAATATTTATGTTTATTCTTTGGATACTCTTTAAAGGTGACAGTCCAAATCAATTAGTGGTACAAATCTGGCTGAATGGCTTATATTGACTGGCCAGAATAAGAAAATTAACGCACAAGACCTTTCTTTCAGATGTTAGCATAAGCTTCTTTGTGTTGGTACTGAATAAAACTGTATCAAGAGCAAAATTTCCATTCGGATGTGAATTCTAGTCAGATAACCTCTTTCTTTGAAAGGGTTGTCTTGTCATTTTTTTACATCTTCTCCTTAGTGAAGGAGCTCAATGCTCTGTGTGTGATCAAGCTCAGAACAGAAGAAACCAAAATTAGAACCAACATCGGCTCTAGTTCTGAACAGTATAGGAACATTGTTACCCTTTTTTGGCTATTGGTTGATGTCTGTGCAGAATTAATTGTCTGTGCCTAATTGATCCCTGATGGTACCTAGGGAATGTTCTTGGAAACACTAGTAGGGAGTTCAAAGATAGATTCAGGACACAGAAAGAGGCATATTCACTCTCCTTGCCAGAGAGATTCTAGCTTTACCTGCAACAGGGAAGAGTAATGAAATAAATTTGCAGTGTTGCTCATCTTGCTTTATTTCTTCTGACTCAAATATTGAAGATTTAATTCTTAGTTTACTTCACACCAGCCAAATGAACAGTAGTTAGTTCTTTTCTCTCCATGTTCCCTTTCTAAACTCCAACATGTTACTGAGACCTGTGATCCCTTTGCTTATCATCTACTGTTAAGTCCATTGATTAAATCAGAGGTTCAGTTAAAAAGATACTTAATTTCATCTTTTGTATTGTGTCATATGCAAGCAGCCCTTTTTCATGTTCCTTGCTCCAATTGCTCTCAGGTGCCTTGTGTCAGTAAGTAAAAAGCAGTTCTTGCAGATCTCAGCTGCATTAATGGAAGATGAATCTTCAAGGCTCTGTTTTTATTTAATTCAAGAAAACAAAAATCAATTATATAATATGAAAATTGCTGAGTGGATTTTTACAAAAATAGGTGGGGAAAGACAGGTCTTGGTTTACCTGAAAGAAGTAAAAGTATTATTTTTCTGCTAATGTTGTGGTAGTCTGGAAACTAATGCTATGATTTTGTTGACTCCCTTACTGTACAGGGCAATGATCTCAGCTGACCTAAACCAGGACGGATATGAAGATCTGGTGGTTGGAGCACCAGGATACAGCACGCTGGGCCGTGTTCAGATAGGACGGGTGTATGTGGTCTATGGCAACCAGTCAGGTTTGCCACCAGAGGACATGGATCTAGATGAGAAAGCTGACCAAGTACTACAGGGTCATCAGGTGAGGGGTCAAGTCAGATATTTGTCACTTAAATTTTTTTGCCTGAAAATGTGGCAAATTTTGACTGATCAACAGTATCATTAATATGTATGAGGATTATTCCTGAAATGTCCCTCCTGGTAAAAGGATGTCATATGCTTTTCAAGAAAAAGAACCGTTACTTGAGTCACAGGAACAATTAAAGCAATGGTGATCTGTAGGTTCACTTCTATTACTGTGCCAGATAAGTGGGTGTTAGAACATAATTTGCCCTTGAATAAAACTGAGGTAGTGTCTCTGTAAGTCACAAATATAGCTCATTCGTGTCCCTGCATTTAAGAAAATATTGTGATTTTTCCCTTCCTTTTTAATCTAAAATTATTAATTCAATATAAGCTTCAATTCCTTTGAAGCTACATTTTTTTCATTAGTTGGTAACTACTCACAAAACCATTGTTTGTCTTTACTAAGAGTAGACGTTATTTAAAAAAAAGAGAAAACTATGATTTGACATGATAGTGACTGAGATTGTAACAAAGAAGCAGGATCAAATTATCTTTTTGAGTAATAAAGATTATCCTCTGTAGAAAATATCTTTATTCACAAAGAAGAGAATATGGAGAGATGAGATACATTTCCTTTTAATCTGTTTATGTGATTATAAACTGTGAATTAACAGCTGCTGTCTTCTTACAGAGTGTTTTAGTGGTTCACAGCTATAATGCTATTAACAAGAAAGATCATAAGCTTAACATCAGTTGTGCGCTAGGCTCAGAAGAGGAAATAACAAAGCAGTGCCATATTGTGTTGAGTTATCTTATATTTTAACACCTCCACATCCTCAAACAGAACAGTTGACTCCGAGTGTGACAGTTATTACTTGGGAGAACAGCAACGCTAAGAAAATCTTAAGAATTATTAGGATAGGTTTTTGTCATCTCTGTTTCCAGTTCTTCCTTGTGCTGTGACTGCAGATGTGCATTAGGTTTTGATGGTTTTGTCTTGAAAACATCTGTTATTTTCATGAGAGCAACCCCTCTTCTTTTAGCCTTCAGGAAGATTTGGTTCTGCCTTGGCAGTCCTGGACTTCAATGAGGATGGAGTGCCAGATCTGGCAGTTGGAGCACCTTCTGTGGGATCTCAGTTTCTTACTTACAAAGTAAGTCACACACATGGGTTTACTGGCTTTTTTTCCCTCCAAACAGAACATTTTTATTGATACATATCTTTTTTGAACAGCGGAATGAGAGAGAGAATTTCTGTTGTTGCTCAAAGTGACATTGTAATTTAAACACAAACGTTTATAACCTTTGTGGATACTTTGACTAGAGCAATGACAGCTATCTGTATTTCTCTTTTTGGACATTAGAAATCCAAATCCAATCCAATCCAATCCAAATCAGATTGCAGCTTTGCAGCACTGATGTGCTGGAAACGTAAGGAGCCGTTCATGAAATACAAGTGTACCCTTTTTATTTAGGAACAGAGAGTCTGGAACGGACCTCATGGGTCCGTGAGCCTTGTCATCTGCTGTCACAGGCCAACAGATGATATCTAAAATGTGATATGAACACAGACACACTTGCTAAAATAATCAAGTTGCAGAGGCTTAATGACTTGCAGCCTACCAGATGAGCCTATGTAATGGTCCCTGAGTATTTTTGCCCACACAAACTGAGAGGCGAAATGTTTTGATTTAAACCACATCCATTAAGCTTAAAACTTTTCAGAATTTCAGATACTAACTTAGCTGCCTAAATAGGAATTTAAATGCTTTTATGTAGACCCACTAGCTTGGAAAATGGGATGCATCTGTTGTGCCTGGCACTGCGTACCATTGCATTAAATAATAATTAACAAAATTTGAGCCACCTGAATGTGTGTATAACAAATGTAATATACAGTATACTGTCCTTGCTCCTTACCCACAATATGATGAAAATGTACTTCTCTGTACTTCTCTAGTTTGTTGCCTGGTTATAGCAGTACCCATTACAGCATGGGTATTCTTAGGTTTGGGGTGGAAAAGACAGTATTATGAGAAGGCTCCGACAGGAAAAATGTGTTTGTTTTAATAGCCCTTGCAGAACTGTTTCACTGCCTGTGCTTTGTCTTGGATTTCATACTTGGTGCTGACATGCAGATGCTCTCATGCTGTATTTGTTTTTCCTGCTGTTTAGGGTGCTGTGTATGTCTATTTTGGCACTGAGGGAAGAAGCTTGGCATCTCAACCAAACGTTACCCTAACATGTCAGGTATATTGATCAGGCTAACACAGGGCTACACAAGCAGGAGGTGAGATAAAAGGGAAAGGGACTTGTGGGCTTAAAAAAAGAACATTAAAATCAAACTTCTAATTGCAAGGGAATTTAGACTCATGGGGATGGTGCAAGCAGGTGCTTGCCTGCGTTGGTTGTATGTGGGAAAGATTCCAGTGCAGGGGGGGCAGCAGGGTGAGCAGAAAGATGCATAGCCCTCCAAATAAAGCAAAGAAAACAAAATTGAAGTCAGGAAATGGGAGGGCAATTTGATCAGAAGCGAAGTTAGCTCTTCAGAAGCAAATAACTTTATTTTTTTACAGAATTGGTGGTTTCAGTTCCATTTCAGGCTTAAACTGTTTATTGCAGTATTCCTACTGTAATCTTGGTTGGTCCCTCCTGGCAGCTGATGTTGATGGGGATGGAAATGCTGATCTGGTTGTGGGCTCTCCCTATGCACCTGGTGGTGGGCAACAGAGAGGATTTGTGGTTGCATTTTACTCTTATTTCAACAGGAGTGACCAAGGTAATATTTATTGAGTAAATTAATCCTCCCATATTTTATGTGACTGTTCATTTGTTCCTAATTAATCATGGGATAATTCAGGTTCGAAGGGATCTCGGTGTCTAGTCCAGCCTCCTACTCAATAAGGGGACAGGTATGAAGTCAGACCAGATTGCTCAGGGCTTTATCCAGTCAGGTCTTAAGAACCTCCAACGACAGAGATTGCACAGCCACTCTGGGCAGCTGTTCCACTTCTTGGCTATCCTCATAGGGAAGAAAAATGTCTTGTTACAGCCAGTATGAACCTCTCTTGTTTCATCTTATGCTCCTTATCTCTTGTTCTCCCACCTCCATGCATAGTGAAGTCAGAGGCACAGAAGGCTTTAAGTACCCCAGTACACTGGGAAGAGCCTGGCTCTATCTCTTTGTTAACCTCCTCATAGGTACTGGCAGGCTGCCTTTAGGTCCACTCGAAACCTTCTTTTCTCCAAGCTGAATAAGTCCCCGTCCCTCAGTCTCTGCTCACAGCACAAGTGCTCCAGCCCCCAACTATCCTGGGGGCCCTCTACTAAATTTGCTCCAGTTTATCAACATCTTTCCTGTTTTGTGGGGTCCAAAACTGAACAATGTATTATAGGTGTAGCCTAGGGAGGAGTAAAGGGGGAATAATCACTTCTCTCAGTCTCTTTGCCGTGCTCCTGCTTATATAGCCTGGGATGATGTTGGCCATCTCTGCTGTTGCAGCCTCACGCTCGGTTCTCTGCCCACCAGGATCTCCAGGACCTTTTCCACACGGCTGCTCCCCAGCCGGTCTGTCCCCAGCCTGTATCGCTGCCAGGGCGTCTCCTTTCCCAGGGGCAGGGCTTTGCATTTGTCCTCGCTGAATTTTGTGAGGTTCCTGTCAGCCTGCTCCTCCAGCCTGTCTGGGTCCCTCTGAATGGTAGCACTGCCCTCAAGGGATAGCGCCCCCCCCGCCCCCCCCCAGCCTCCTGACATCTGCCAGCTTCATGAAAGGGCACGTTGTTACCTTCTGCAGATCATTTATGAAAGTCTTTAACAGGATGAGTCTAAAGATAGACCCCTGAAGGCACTCCACTTGTCACAGGCATTCAGAGCATAAGCCACTAACCGCTGTCCTGTGAAGATGATCATCTCAACCAGGTTTTTCCCATCTGATTGTCCACCCATCCAGACTGCAGTGTCCAAGCTTGGATACAAGAACACTGTGGGAGACAATGATGTTGAAAGCCTTGCTAAAGGAGTGGATTCAACTGTGTATTGGTGATACCAAGGCAGACTCACTGGTCTTCCTTGGAAATGGGCAAATGTACCTCAAAAGATGAATTTTTATCATTCTGTATGCTTCTTCATGTGGCTAAATAGGAATGCTACCAGTGAATACAGCTAATGAGTACAGGTGATGAGGACTGTTGTGAATGAGGGAGGAAAGGCCACATATGGAGCTAAATAAAGTTAATAGGGGTTGGACAGGATACGCAGGTATTCAGAGCTTTGTCAGAATCATGTAATTGAGATTTCCAATAACGCTTAATTTTTGTAGCTTATTCTACTTCATGTAAAATTAGAAATCACAAGGAAAATGGGTTTCAACACACTGCTGACTGACATTTTTGCAAAACCAAAACACAGAATGAATTATTTGAATTAAAGCCAGAATTGTTTGAAGCTCCTCCATCCACAACCCTTGAAGAATTACAAGTTCTGATAAACAGTTTCAATGCTGTCCTATCCCTAAGAAGGAGTCACTAGTTTAGGGCAGGCTTGACTGATAGCTTTCATGTACTTTGTGTAGGCCATTGCAAGGATTTAGAAGCAGGCTGTGCTGAATAAAAGCCAGTACAGTTGCAGACTGAGCAAGGGAAGTTAGCAATAACTGGTGCCATACCGTGGATGGTGTAATTTTGCTTATAGAAACTTGTTGTCATAGGATGAATCAGTGGAGGATTGCTAACAAATTTTTCTATGCCAGGGTACATCAAGACTTAATTCGTATTTTTCTGGTCTGTCAGGACTTCTGTCAGTGGAGGATGCCAACTGGATGGTGAAGGGGGAAGAAAACTATGCTTGGTTTGGATTTTCCCTTGACAGCTGCCAGCTGGAGAACGTAACATTGCTGCTGATTGGTAGCCCTACGTGGAAGGGTTGTGCTGGGTGTGTTGTACATGACAGCTTGCTCTCTCCTCCATTCTGCCCTGCTTCTACAATGGTTAAGAGTTATAATAACTTAGACTTCCAGCTTTTCGGGAAGTTTCCTCTTTGTCCTGCTTAGAATATTTTTATGCCTTCATCCTTCCTCGTGAAGGGGGGGTGTGTCTTTAGACCCTTTATAGAGAGGGTCTTTGTTATTTAGAGACACTTAAGAATTTGTTGGGTTTTCTTTGGGAGGGGGAGAAGGGGCACAAAAATGCTAGCAGGTAAGCATGCCTAAAATAATCCTATAGATAGCACTTACTTTGAGATGGCATTTTTAAAAGCAAAACGTACACAAAAATATATTGGGTAATAAAGAAGTGGATGGACAGACCAAGTCTGTGCCCTAAATGTCTTGTAACTAGTTAGAACAAGCATGGGAATTACTACAACAGATTTCTAGAATTTGGCAGCTACTGTTATTCCAAATGAAAACAGGAAAATATGGTAAGAGGAGCAATCCTAGATGAATGTATAAAAATATGTTGTTACATACAAATATATTTTGCATTGTAATTCAAGCTGCAATCCCTTCTCATCGGATGTCAGACAGAGCGTTGGGAAGGTGTATGGGTATAACCCACCAAGCACAACGGTCTGGTTTGCAGTAACTGGAGACAAGGTAGGGCTCCTTCTATAGTACGGGACCTTATGACTAATTTGAAATAAAGTGACGTTCTGTAGAAATTACATAGGTCTTTTGAAAATCTAACAGGCAATGGGCAGGATGGGTTTGTCTCTGGCCAGTGGTGTGATGTCTGTGGCTGGGATCACAAGGACAGTTTTGGTGGTGGGTGCACCTACTGCAGGTATGTCCTTCTGAAATTTGGAAACCATTTCTGCTTTGGGACTTTTGTTTCTGTATGGCCAGAGGATACAAAATTAAAAGTCAGAAAAGGAACCTTTTAATTGCCATGTAATTTAAAAAAAAAGGAAAAATATAAATAATCACTGTAATCACCTATAAGTGCCTTACCTGTAGAGTCCTCTGTCCTATGCCTCAACTTCAATGGGTTTTTTCCTTCCTTAAAATAAGTTTAGCAGCATTATTGCTTTGCATTATTTATGTAGAAGTGATTTGCTAGTAGACTGCATATTTCTTGGAATTAAAACAACACAATATTTTGTCCTTACTCTGGCAGTAGGTAATAAGGAATTAGGAAAGTCAAAGTGTAGCACTCTAACTTGAATGCATTTTCCCCTTCTACTATTGCTAGGAGATTGTTTCTGTGCTAATTAGTGTTAATGGCATATAATATTTGATGTTATTCATAAATTATATTAATTTTTTCCATGTTATGTAATGCCAGTATTATCTGCTGTCAATGTATTGCAAGTACTAAACCTAAGTTCCTATGTCTGATGCTCAACTTCTGTTACCTCTTTTTTTTTTTTTTCCAGATAGCCTGTCTAGGGTTTCATTTATATCCTCAGTGCTGCACCAAGCTGGACTGGCTCTAGTATACGATCTGACAGACAGCACCAAACCTTCTTTGCTCAGCACATTCAGTGGGGACAGGAGCTTTTCTCACTTTGGAGGAGATATATACTTAAGTGACTTGGATAATGATGGACTAGGTAAAACTCAGTGAATCTGGATCAGCGGTTTTTAATCATCAAACAAATGTTTTACTTTTGCCAACGGGAAGTCTGGTCACCTACATATTCATACAAGTGCTAAATACAGTCTGCTTCCTCAATTGACTTGTACAAGTATTCTATTGTGGCTTGTGGGGAGGCATCTCTAAAATCCCAAGCAACTTAGAAATTGAAACATTTTATCTGTCATCATTAATAGGAATTGTGGCATCTAGAGGTATGTAAATGCCAACTCTCTTGTGTTTTGGTTTAGCATTACTTCACTTCTGATGTGTTATGTCATCCTTGTAATATTTGCAGATGAAATGATTGTGACATCCCCACTGCGAACTAACGATATCACAATACTGTTTGGTGGGGCAGCTGGCCGTGTTTACATTTACAACGGAAAGCAGGCATCCTCAGGGAATGTGACAGGCCACTGCAAATCATGGATATCTCCCTGTCCTGAGGACTGGGTAAGAAAAAAATAAAAGTGGAAAAAAAGTGAAATCAGGACATGAGGTCATAGTGACAGCTAATTAATGACATCCAGTGCAAATATCATCTGGTGCATTCTGACTTGGTTTCAGAAAACAGAAGGTTACTTATGTTTCTGAATCTGTGTGATTTGGCTTCTCCTGTTCGTTCTTGAATTACTTTGCTGTATAGAAACCAGGGTTATTGCACGGGTCTTCTACTCTCCTAGTGTGGTTCTCTCCACTGACTTTTTATTTTCTCCTTTTTTTTCTTCTTCAGGCACAGTATGTCCTGATTTCTCCTGAGGTAAATAACCAGAAAACAAACTACTGAGAGAAACAAAAAAGTCCCACTTTAAAAAAAACTAACAGCATTATAACAAGCAATGTTATTTTACAGGAACTGTCAAGATTTGGGAGTTCCATTATCACTGTGAAATCTGAAAGAAAGGTGAGAAAAATTACTGTTATTGGTTGCTTCGTAACATCTTTCTACCTCACTTGCATACAATAGCCAACACCTCACATATGTATCTATATCTTACTCATTTGCAGAAACCTTAAGTGCTTTACATAGTTAATTCAGTTTTCATTTAAGTCACTCTCTGAACTGATAATTAAAACCATTTTATAAGTGGATGAACTATGGAGTTGTCAAAATTTTGGCACCTGACACCTGAATTGAAAGAGATCACTTTAAAACGGCCTGAACTCTAAACTGCCTAGGAGTTTGCAGAAGGGCTGCATGGTAAATCAAGTGTAGGTGCCAGCTGGCTTTCCTGTTCATGCCAACCTGTATGCGAACTGGATGCTCAGCTATGGGGTAAGCCAGGCACCGAACCACCCCTCTCATTCAATATTTACAGGCTCGCTGTCCTAGCTATCACTTGCAGTGAATGCTGTTCGTATGTGAAGCATTTCCAAGCACAGGGAGGCCCAGTTCTTTCTTACCTGAATCATTTTGGATGTGTTTGTGTACCTGTTTCTCTTTGGTTCCCTCAGATGCCCATTATTTTTACCAAAAGTCAATCCGTATGTTTGTGTGATGCACTGAGGAACCTTTATTCCGGCTTGAAGGTTACTTAGTGCTTGTTCAGCTGAGGGGAGCCCAATGTTCTGCTGACTCTGCCTGTGTGAGTACTGAGAAAGCCTCAGCGCTAGGCCGAGGTGTGCGACTGGTCTTCAACAAATGGTGTTTGACTTCTTGCTGTTAAAACATGCAATGGAGAAACACCTGGAAACGTCAGTGCTTCTGAACTAGGTTAGGGCGCATAATCCGACACCTGAAACAAAGGCATCGCTGATGGTTTCCTCACGAGTGCAAGTGAGGCCGTGCTCCAAGCAGTTTCGTTCCTTTGCTGTGGCACCAACCCAGTCCACGCTCCAGCTTCATCTCTATTGATCTTACCCCTGAGAAATAGTTTATATTGGCAAGATTTATCTGACTGGTTCCAGCTTCTTCCAGTTCCCCAAATGAAATAAAGTCTGTTTGACAAATCGTTTTGTTAACCGCTATTCTGATGAGGCGGGTTGCTCTCTTGTTTCTCCTCATCACGTTTCTGTACGACACTAATGACACGGACAAAATCTGGTTTCCATTAGGGGAGCTTAGGGCAATCGTACACCTGCAGTTGCGTGTTGCTAACCTTTGTTCTGTGTCTCTGCAGAAAGAAGTTGTCGTGGCAGCAGAGAGAAGTTCGGCAAAAGCTCGACTTGGTGGAAGGCTTTTTGTCTACTCGCTCTAAAAGTTCATGGTAGCCTTTCAGACCAGGGCACAGCTGGTCTTTTAGTGAAGAATCTCCGTAGTATCTGTGATACTTTCCTTAACCCATACAACCCAAGAGACCACGTGACAGCAAACTTTTGATAGAGATGTCCCAGATAGCTATAGGGTCATAGCCAGTATTGAGGGAGGGAGGGATGGTCACTGTTTTTAAGTGAAGGGGAATATGAGCATTCATGGTGGTTTGACTTACAAACCAACCAAAACTATGTCAGTCATGTAAAAGCACAAATTAATCCTGTTGTGAGCAGTAGCATCACTTAACCTAGAACAAGCAAGCTGATCTGAAAACCTTTGAGAGGCTAAAATGAGCAGAAGGCTAGATTTTGGCAGTAATATTCGACAGTATAAGGAATGTTCAGTGGTCACCTTCTTTACTGATCAGATTTGAGTATTTTCTTGACAAAATCAGGAAATAGCACATAATTTACAGTTCCTTGTTCACTGTGATAGACAGGGCTTCTAAGATATCAAAAGTTGCTGTCAAGAGGAGGGGCAGCTGTAAGCCAGACAGAAAGGTGGGTGCCAATCAAAAGGACTGCTTCGGTCTCTAGCAAGCCTTGAGGCCTGCGTTCAAGGTGTAGAACAGCTGGGATCTCCCAGGGAAGAAAGCGCAAGCAAGACTGATTAAGTTTTAGCAAATGCTTTTGCTTTTGCAGTCATGGCCAAGACTACTCACTCTTTGTTTTCATGTAAAATTCCATGACCATGGTAACTTAGAATTGTTAACAGCTTTTATTGTTAACAGTATTGTCTTCAACTAATTAATGCTAATTTTGTATGATGCAGGTTTAACAGAGTGTGCATCAATTATCTATTAAACAACTTGAGCAGCAAGATGTGATGCTATTATTACCAACACTAGTCCACAGACACACATGTATATGTATTTTCTCTCTCTTGCCTCCTTCACAAACATGAAGCATTGTTTTTAATAACACAAGTCAGTGGAATAGCACAGAACTCTAAAGGCCATACTGCAAGATGGCGCACCTCAACTTACCTTCTTAAGAATTCTCTCTCTCGTGGAGGTTGTTTTTGAAAAAAAAATGGCCAGGTGAACATTAGCTTGATGTGTAATGCATTCTGACATCTATTTGGGGGACTTTACTTGCCCAAACAGCACAACACTTAAAAAAAAAAAAAAAGTTTAAAATCTGAACTTTATGGAAGAAGTAACTGGATGGAACTGGGAGCTCGGTACTTACCTAACCAATCTCTGAACTGTGGTGTGATGCAAAATGAGCAGTGTATTTACAAGGGCAGAATAAAAAGTGTTTTCCTTTTTACATGAAAATTGATGAAACCAGTATGTTCTGCAGCAATTCCATTCTGAACATACAGCCTCCACCGGCTTTGGTTTTTTCTGTGTATGAACTCAGAGTCATTTTAGTGCACATGAATGCATTTTGATTACTTGAATTTTAAGAAAACCATTAAATGTTGGCGTAGGTCTGTAGCGAGAAAGGCAGTCTTGTAAAAGATGTGTCTTTCCCTCCGTGCTTTTATTGTGCTTTAGGTCAGTTATGTACAGGAAAAGGAGTCAACACAGTTCACAGAAACCTCTGCACAAAAGACAGAGCTTGGAAAGCTTATGCAGAAGCTTCCCAACGAGCTGCACCAACACATTTTAGTCCTGGCCTAATGCAACTACAACATGGTTGAAAACATCAGCATCCATATCCCTTCACGCACAGGGCTTTCCTGGGGTTTATCAGCCAAGGTATGTGAGCCATTGTTTTTTCCACTGGATTGCTCAGTTTAAAGATTTTTTTTTACATCTCTACCTGCTAAGCAGGCTGCAAAAAATTCAGCTAAAAAACTCAAAACCATTACAAACCCCATTAATTTTCTCACCTTCTCATGCCTTTTATATCCCAAGTCACATACAGAGCAAGAACAACTGTTTGAAAATAATTATGTACAACTGATTTTAACCAAACCAGGATCACAGGCCTGCATAATTTTATGTACCTTTTTATTTCCATTTTTGACTCATTAGTCCCGAATAAAAATGTTCACAGCTACAGTTAGTATCTTTTCAACCCCTGCCAGTACAGTGATTTACCTGGTGGCACCTAAGGAGCTACTCACTATACATTACAGAGAGGTTAAAAAAACCCCAAACAAGAAATACGAGTTTGTGACCTGACGTAGAAGGATTTCATGCTCCCTCTACAGACTGAGAGAAACCAGTGGAGAACTACGCCCTCAGAGTTCAGAGGTAAGTCCTAAGAAAAAACACAAATAGTGGGCAGAAGAATTTTACTCCTTCCTTCAGTCCATCACAGGACACCAGGCTTCCACACCCTTTACTAACCCAGCCGCTTGCTGTGGCGCAGGCTAGTCCATGCTTTGTCTCGTCTTCTTGGAGAGGAAAGAGAGAAAGCAGAGCCCAGCTTAAGAGAAACCAACAACTGCTCTGTTGACTTTTACCAGCATTTGAATCCGTCCTTCTGACAACATGAGTTGTTAAACTGCAGCTGTATCAATGCGTGTTGACATAGTGGCAGAAAGCAAGCACAAGTGTGCATTATCAATAAGCCTACTTTTCCTGTTACTAAAACTGCGTATGTTTTGGGCCTAAATTAATTGTTAAGGAATACCCAAGATAAATAGCTACATTTCAAAGCCTGTTATTGCTCACTTAAAATAAGGGAAACTATTATTTCTGGTTACTGCCAATGTAGAGGTGATGCTTCACAAGAGATGCAGGTATGCTTTTTGCTTTGGAAAATCTGTTCTCTGCAATTGAATAGGGCCTTAAAAAAGTCCATTAAAAAGGCCACTTTTGGGGTGGATTTTTCTTTGACATTTGAAGTCAGATTCCTAAATCTGCAGCTCAGAACCAGAATTACTGATGAATGCTGACTGCTGTCATCCTTAAAGCTGAAAATAGTGCTCTCTTTAAGAAAGGCCATTATGTGAAGAAGTATTTGACAGAAACACTTGAAATGAGAATGCCCCAAAAATAAGTAGTTGGATGCGACAGAGAAAACTTACGGAACATACGTGGGGTGGAGGCGAGACTACTGTGGAAAGCATGTCGCTGTTTTCCCTTGTGTTTCTCTCCTTTCATGTGTGAGCATTAAAACCTCACCATAGGTTTTTGGCACAAAATATATATTAAATTATCAAGTTTAGAAATTCTTGCAGTTTTCAGTAAGGAAGAACAAATGCAAGGAAAGTGTCCAAAGTCCACCCTGTAACGATAAAAGTCTCTTCCTTCCTGCTGTTCCTATTGGTTTGTTAATGTGCTTCTGCTCAGCCCAAATGTTTCTGCTTTAAGGTGGTTCTTTATCTCCACTCTTCCAGCTGTTGGTTGGGATTTTTTCAAACCTGCATGAACCTAGGCAAGATAAAAAAATAGCCTGTCATTATCAGAAGCTGCTCTATTTGCAGCAGAAGGAAATACAGCTTCACAGAGGCCTCAACCCTGATTTTTCTCCTCTTATTTTCAGAACACCACCTCTGGCTTCTCCCTCCCTAATCCCTTTCAGTACATTGCTCCAAGCCAGTGTCAGTATGTGCTGGAATTGGTTTTGAGCAACACTGGAGGATAATCCAGTTAGTTGGAGCCATAGTCAACAATCCACAACAAACTACTTCCACCTGCCTCTTAGTGGCAAGGGAGGGGGGTAAGAAGGGGAGTTTATCTGGGTCTCCCTTTCTTTCTTTTGTCACTTGTAGCAACTTAACTTTTGAATCCACTGATACTTCCCTGCTGTAGGAGTGCAGAACAGAGGTAGACAATACAGCCCCACAGACTTTGGCAGGAAAGGGTAGTCAGCGGGGAAAATGACCCACACAAAATCTTGCTCATCTGAAGATGGTCTCCTTGGAAATCTTCATACAGCTTGGTACAACAGGGCTCTACTATGCCATCAGCACCAATAGCCAAGAGAGCTGGTGTGCATGCGAGGAGCTAGTACAGACTCTGGATGGGGAGTCACGACATCACAACGGTGGCATCATTCTCCAGAGAGATGTTACAGCTAGTACCTGTCCTCATCACCCTTTTATCTTTACCTTCTCTTTTACAAGACAGGGACTACAGATCCGTCACTATGAACAGACTGCTGCAGCAGCTGAGAAGGCAAATCAGGGCTGCTTCCACCATTAGCCTCAGCTTCCCTTGGGCTGCCACGTGCAAGTACGTACAGCCTGTCTCAGGGAACAGCCTGCAGCTTCACTTCTGGCAACGGTGAGCAGTATCGTACTGCTCAAGTGTATCTTTGCCAGTGCTGGGGCTTCCCACCTCATCCAATCTGGCTAGGGTGAACCTTCTCCATTGCCAAGGAGCAGACACTGAGCTGAATTCCCCCACGCTCTGCGGCCCACCCCTCTACAACAGCTTGTTTCCTGCTTCAGAAACGGACTGTATATGCAGAGTCTGAAGCAGAAACCCTAGCCAGCCATACGTACGTGAGGAGGTAGTGGAGGTTCGAGGTGCCGCCCAAGGAAGGAAAGCAAGCGTCGCCATATCAGACCGCTTCCCAGAAACATAATCCCCGTCACCAGCCAAAATATTCTGGGGTCCTACCGACAGAATGTTCTCATTAGTCATGCGGCTCTCTCTTCAGAAGAGGGATTATCCAAAGGTGATCTCTCAGTCCCCACCAGTGTTCTCCTCGTTTATGGGAGGAAGTGGTAAACTCTCTACCATCAACAGCCAAGCCCTACCTTGGGAAAAAGGCTGTTTCATAGCAAAGCGTTTTATTTAGGAATCACCCTAGTGTATTCTGTTACTGTCCCACGCAATTTTCCTTCCTTCACTGGGAAGTTTGGAAATTAAACCTTCTATTTAATGGTTTTGGAAAGGAAGAAGTCTTTGCTTTGTTTTTGGGGTTTTTTTTTGTTTTAAAGATAGCATGTGCAATTGTAAATTTGTACCCCCGGCCTGTGCCCCCACCAGTCTAGGTATAAGCATGTAATTGACTACAGTAGAGTATTTCCTCTGGT